TAACTGAAATACCTCCATATATAGATATAAATGTGAGTATCTAAGTCACGGATCTACTACCCGTAGTCCGGACAATAATCCTGATACATTATTACAACTCCAACTAAAACAAGACATAAACAAGTCTATGTGGCATGGACAATCCCCATGCTCACCAAATCAACGACATAATCAACCAAGTCTCAACATAATAATCCATAAACTGAAGCTAAAAGCATAAGACAGTAAACATGATCCAGCATCACACATAGCAGCATAAACATGCAACATCTACCAGCTAAGCTCTGGCCTCCTGCCACTAGAGGTCTCAACCCCCGCATTACCTGAACCTGTAATAAGCATTCCCCAAACATGGGGTGAGATCTCTAAACCAGAAATCTCAGTAAGACAAGGGGTCCTCAAGGATCTTCCACCCCAAGCTCACTTACATGTGCAATATAAGTTCTAAAAGCAGTAACTCAGTATAAGTTCCAAAACTCAATGCAGTGCAACAGATATTCATGCCATGTGTGTCAATATTATTCTACTGGCCATAGAAATGCAGGAATACGTCTATACCTACATGTAGTACAAGGAACACCGCTTGCACCTCCCTCACACCCTCACCATCTTGTATGTACCACATACTCAAGCTTACCGTATAGGTGGAACACCAAATACATATCATAAAGGCACTAGCATATAACAGCTCAACAACATTTCCAAAACATCAGAAGCATGTAACACAACATGCATATAACCATACCCCCATGGGACATGGTGGAACCACAACATGGCTAAACCGAAGACACGAAAGCTTACCTTGCAAGCTAGCTATCCAAGCCAAGAGTCCACAAAATCTCAAAGCCCAAACACAGCAGTATCACAATCTGTTATGGACCAATAATACATCATTAATCAAACTCTACAAGCATACACTTAAAGACAACGTCTTTCCTTTACGTTTTACGTCTTAAGGCTTCTAACAAAGCCACAAGCCCTTAATCACATGATTCTGACTTGGTTCATTAATTACAGAAGTTCAACTTCATCAATCTAGGGTCCACAAACCCCCAATAGCCTACTGTACACACAGCACAGTTACTGTTCTACGAAAATCTCAGAATATCCGGATATTCCTCGGGGGCATATCCGGATATCCAATATCCGGATATCTCACTGTACATATCTGGATATCAATATCCGGATATCCAGATCCCCATATCCGGATATCCAATATCCGGATATTTCACGATCAGATATCCGGATATTTCACGACAGAATTTCGTTTCTGCATTTTGTGAAGATATCCTTCCAAGGTTTGGTTTTTACCGAAAAAAGACACTTAAACATGCATTTCTAGGTGTGTTTGACATTACCCAACGTTAGGTTATCATCTTAAGCCCTTTACATGCATCAAGGTTCCATTTTTAAGCATAAAAACTCAAGTTCAAGTGTGATGATCATACCACAAGCTCAAAACAGCAAAGGGAGATGCTCTTGGAGCTCACTTGAAGCTCCCACAGTTCTGACTTCCAAGGTAAACGAAAATGGTGCACAAGGTAGCTCTTTTACTCAACAAGGAAGCTCCTTGAAGCTTCAAAACACCAAATAAAGACTCCCACCCTTCAAACACAAAACTCATAAGCTCAAACCCCCTTCACACAGGTTCTCTAACTCAGAAAGGTGACTCTTTTCTGCTCACAAGGCTCACACCCTCAAGACCAAGTGTTTAGGAAGAGGTATCAAGAAGGTAGAAGGTCACAAGGCTCATACAAGAGGAAAGGGAGCACCAAAACAGTGCAAACTGATCAGCCTCGAAGGTATCCACGCATAGAAGTATGTTTTCTAGGGTTTTGTGCCCTTCATAAGTGTATTTATAGGCCACTTAAGCATTAAACACACAGTATTAACTTAATTAGCTATGCTTAACATTTTAATTCCAAACTCAGGATTCTTAACCTACTCAATTTTACAAGAATTATCATATTTTTATTATATTTTTTGGAGCACCTTTCTGGTACGCGCTTTTCATAGCCAGTATTAGTTTCTGGCACCAGTTCTCATTATTTTAACTTGAAACTCGTTTTAAAAGTCCTATATATTATTCTAGGAATTATCACGCACTTATTATAATTTTCCGGGATACTTTTTCAGTACGCATTTATACTGACTAGCAGAACCGGTATCTGCACTTTTCTTCCGAAAAGCGACTTTCAGCATACTTAATCAATTACTATAATTATAAGAGCCTCATAATAATTATTAGGGTCAATTATTGAATTATTTCCTAATTTTCACATTTAATTAATTAATTTCCTTAATTAACGGTGCGGGTTCTTACAGCGACAGTGGTGCTAATGGTGGCATAGTTGCAGCGGCAGCGGCGACGACAGTGGATGCGACGATAGTGATGATAATGACATGATGGTGGCGGTGGTGTAGTGGTGGCATGATAATGGTAATGGCGGTGATGGTGACAGTAGTGGTCGCGATAATGGTGATGGTGATGACATGGTGTGGTGACAGCAGTGGCTGCGAGAATGGTGATGGTGATGACATGGTGGTGGCGGCGGCGGCTGCGATGGCGATGTAGTGGTGGTGTCATGGTGGTGGTGGCTTTGACGTGGCTACGATGGTGGTGGTGGTGGTGGTTGGTGATGGTGGTAATGATAATGGTGGTGACGGTGGTGGTGGTGGCGGTGGTCGTGTTGGGAAGGTGGTGACGGTGGTGATGATGGTAGTGGTAGAGAGTAATTGAGAGAGATAAGTGTTTCTCATTTTGTGCCCGGGAACAAAGAAACAGAAATTTTTTTATTCTTTTTTTTGTTCCGCATCATAAAAATTAAACCGGTTCATCTCGGGAACAAAAAAATAAACTGATTTTATCAAACGAGTTTTCTATCCATTGCTGCTCCCGGGAGCAGAAATTAAAAAAAGAATTGATTTCGGGAAGGTTGTCATGCACACCCAAAGCGACTGCAAAAATGATTTTACCTATATATATATGGGTTCGCTTTTTCTGCAGTTACTGCAGATAAGTTATCTGCAGTAAGCCCAATACGACGTCGTTTTGGAGCGGAAATCATGGTGTTTTTGTAATTTTAATTTATTTCAGGGTTATAATAGTCTTTATATTTATAATTTTTTAAGATTTCAATATCAAAACGACGTCATTTTGAGAATAAATGCAGATAATTTATCTGCATTAACTGCAGAAACATTTTTCCTTATATATATATATATATATATATATATATATATATATGGATAAACATTTATATAGCCACTTTAGATAAAGTTATCTATAGTTATCCCAAAAATTACGTCGTTTTGATTAATGAAGGGTGTTTCCGTAATTTTAGGTAAATTTATGAAGGTTGTTTCCATAAAAAAAATTTCTTATCATATACATTTTACTGAAACACCCTTCATTAATCAAAACGATATTGTTTTTTGTGTAACTGTAGATAACATTATCTAAAGTGATTGTAGAAATATTATATATATATATATATATATATATATATATATATATATAAATGACATAACTTTGTGTCATTTAAAATGACAAATATTTTTCCCATATATATATATAAATGGGAGGGGTTATATTTACAACCCAAATAGTTTATAAACTCTTACAACTATATATTAACCGTTGATTTCCGTCAATCAACAGTTGTCATTTATTGTGAATTAATAATTAATTAATAAATTTGATTTGCGAAAATCTTAACCGTTGATTGACAGAAATCAACGGTTAAGATATGGTTGTAAGAAGTTGCAAACCAAAATAGGTTGTAAATATAACCTTCCTCAAATTTTATACACATGCAAATTTCAATTAAATACGATTAATGAATTTTACTTTTTATGAAAAAGGATGAAAAACTCGTTCAATATTAAAATACGGTAGCTGAACATTGATTTCATAAAAAAAAAAAAAAAATATATATATATATATATATATATATATATATATATATTTGTATCTGGGGTCATTGAAATATATGTAAGTTCGAATTTTTCTTTTAACGAAACAATAATCATAATACGAGAAATGTTATATTTACCATCTATTTTGATTTATAATTTCTTACGACCATATCTTTAGACAAACTTATTAATGATGTCCTATCAGAAAATTAAAGTATTGTCAAAGAATTTAATTAATTTGCATCAATAACAGAGCATAATAAGGGTGGGAAGGACTGTAGGAGTAAAGTATAGAATTGATGGTATTATCTTCTTCATTGGCTTTTAATTATTTTATTTTGCGCAAAAACTGTAACGATGAATTTATTACTATTGTATTGTTAGACTATATATATATATATATATATATATAATATATATATATAAAATATATGTGTGTTATATGAGTATTTTAAATTTTATAAGTCCTATTTATATATGTATTATTGAATTATTTATAATGATCAATACGCTCAACTAATTAAATTGAATTGAGTTGTCTACCAAAAAAAAAAATTGAATTGAGTTCACACAAAACTATAAAGTTTGATTTTTGAGATTCGGATTGTTTTATGAAAAAATAATATACCCATAGTTGTCAAATAATTTACCCAAAATTGTCAAATAATGTTTTCTGAACACATTATCAAACCATACCCCAGTCATATATTTTTCAATCTAAAGACAACCAACCCCACATCTTTTGAGTGGAACACCTCAAAGCTCTGCAACATCTGTCCATCTCATTGACAAATTGGTTAGGATCCTTAGACACATTTGATCTACAAATGTTGGTAGATGAAGCAGAAAAAAATCTGTTAATACACCAGAACCACCAGCTTCAACCAGAGTTGCTTTACACTATAATAGTATCAATTAAAATTATATTACGATTACTTTACAAAATATAGAATAATAGTATCAATTAATAATAATTTCATAAATTCAATGTATATCCAAACAACATAATATAGAATAAAATCATTCAAAAAGTCTATTTAACCAATAAAATGAGGTGAAATGAATTGAGGAGAGAGAAAATGCTATTATGAGTAGTATAAAAAATATAAAATAAAAATAAAAATCAGTATACTAGACCAGCCCGAGAGGCTTTAAGGCCAGACTTTTGAATTGAAGTTTGATACCTTTTTATTAAACAAGGTTTTATATAAGTCAAAGTCTGATTACAACAACTAATTTTAAACATATAAGCCCAGACCTTCATGAGCTAGACCAAAGACCCCTGGTTCGTTTACCAGCCTATTTATAACCCTATTTTATTAATAAATAATTAAACACTATAAAATTTCTTAGGTAGGACGTGACATGTTACATAAATATAAAACCAGTTTAAATCCACAATCATATTGCATTTGATAAATGCTATTATTTCCAGCTTATGTAGTTTATTCATTTATCTTGCTAAATAAACCATCTCAGTCTATATTATCTAGCTCAAATCCTGTAATGTTGAAGAGCAGAGGTTCCATCAAGGCCTTTTGCATTGTAGTAGGCTACATAATCTGTAACTGTGGTTTCTCTGTATTTGAGAGGATTTTCTTCTGATAATAATTCTTTTATAGGTCCGTAGAGCTTCGGTGATGATTTAGGATGAGTCCTGAAAAAGCATGCAAAAGATATTCTTGGACCTATGTGATTTGCCAGTACTCTATGTTCAACACTCTTGAATCTGTCATTTGTAACAATCTGCACTTCAACTAAAATTAATAGTTAGCTATATTCATATAAGCTCATTTCACATATCATAAGAATTTGTAAAGTTTCAATTTCATACAAGGCTTTTGCTTTTAACCGGGTTAAAATATTAATGCAAATAAGGCATTACTTTATTCCTAACCAATATTTGAACATGTAAGGGCAGTCATAAATATATTAAGCATCAAGAGCACCAACATAACATAGACTAGCCATTTTAATATAATCACTAATAAAGTGTATTATTTTGTGGCAATGAAGCTGTAGATGCAATAAGCATTCACAATAAATGTATCAGGAAATTCACATACGCAGAATATCAACAGAAAACTTGCCTGCAGAAGATCACCAATATTAACTACAAGAGCCCCAGGTACTGGGGGTATATCAATCCACTTGTCCTTGTAAAGAACCTGGAGGCCACCAATATGGTCTTGGAGAAGCACTGTGAGAAAACAATTATCAGAATGCTTGGTTGTTCCCATAGTCAATTCTGGTTCAGGGCATGCAGGATAGTAATGGCCAAGAAAAAAAAGCCCCTCAGCACAACCCATGTTTTTTAAATGGTCTGAATGTAGCCCAAGAGCTTCTGATAGTAATTCAAACAGTGCAATTCCCAGTTTCATTATATTTGTCCCATATTCCAGAAGTATATCCCTACAAGAATATGCAGTCAACAAACAATTAAATGCCTTATAGTAGAAAAAGAAAGTTTAACTTTGGATCTTCTTCCACTTTGTAACTTAACTTGCATTGGCTTGTATAGCTGTTTGTCTAACTTCATAATACGTTACAACCTTGATTCATAATTCTTCACTTTAACAAAAGTGGGAGACACACTTTATAGCCTATTGTGCTACTGGGAGGATATCAGAATCTTATTCAGGAACTAAGGATGATTCTTCGGTTTTGCACCTATTTAATTTTTTTTTTTTTTATCACTTTGTCCCTCTACCCAAATTATATATCTCTTATATTAAGTTGACACTATTTGTAAATTTCATGTATATTAATGCCAAACAAATATAAACTTCTGAAACTAAATATACCTTGATCTAAGTGGCCTAAGATTTGGGACAGTATACAAGCATGGACTTACCTGCATACTACTGGCAAATCTTCTGGTTTGGGAGTATAAGGAGCCAAGTAACAAGCAAAAGTGTCCCTCCAATTGAGTGCTGGTGAACTATACAGATCAAAGTTGCTATTATAAACAAATGGCCTAGTCTGATCACGGGTATATAGCTCTTTTTTCACCTCACTATCTTTTTCATGAAACCTTCGCACCCCATCTTTTATGTCCTCTAGAACAGTCACAGGGATGCCATGATTAACAACCTGAAAGAAACCCCATGTCTCAGATGCTTCCCTTATTCTGCCTATGATTTCTTGGCGTGTACTTTGATCTTTGCCAACACCTGCAAGGTCTATAACAGGAATAATATGTTCTGTGTTGCCTAAATTTGAGGCCTTCACAAATTTATCAGGTTGATGATGAAATATTCTTGGGATCTTTGCAACCCCTTCATCAACAAGGCCTTTAACACCGGTTTTCATGTCATCAAATGCTTTCAGCTCACGCAGTCTTTCAGAGTCTTGCTTAACTGTGCCTGCAATTTCATCTGAAAACCCCATGTTGCTTCTGTTTGTAGTGATCTCAAGAGTGTAAAATCTTATCCTGAAACCTTCAGAGCAGAACGAGAAGAGAAAAATAGCAAGAGAACAACTGTTACTCTGTTTAAGATAAGGTTACAAAAAGTAACCTTGAAAATAATACAATGTGTGGCTATCAGTAAGTTCTACACACACACAAGTAATGCGTGGCTATCATACACTACACACACATATATGTATTTTACAAGCTGAAAATAAAACAAAAGACTAAGTTCTACAAGATATTACGTTTAGACTATAGAAAGTAATGCTATGAATGTGAAGGAAACATTTGTATTTCGGAGATAATGAAAATGTGTTGTATTTTACTAGTCTTTTGGCCGCACTATGTGCAGGAATTTTTATAAATACATATCAGTGTAGTAATGAAAATGTGAGTACTTCTTCTAATTACTTCTTTTGATCAGTAAGGAATTTTCAAAATATTGTTGAATTGGACGTTAAATTTAGGAAATAGTTACATACTAATCAAAGTAAATGAGTTTTTTTTTTTTTTTTTTTAATTTTTTTTCCTTATTGAGCATGCCTTTACCTTTTCATGTGTATCTATAAAACTTTTTGTCTTCTGATTCAATTGGTATAGGTTATGATGTATCGATAATTTAAAAATTTTGATGTGTCGTGTTCAATATTTTTTGACATTTTAACACGTGTTGCAGATACTCAAAATAGATTGTGTTATATTTTTAGTTCAAACTATTAGGGTATAGGTACGAAAATTTGTTCTAAAACAAGGAGGCAGAGAAATTAAAATACTACCATATTAAATTATGAATACATAATAGTTTGGAATCAATCTACGAATCTATTGCATTTAGTCATGCTCAGATTAAGTGCAATAGGGTGCACGGCCGCACCCAATGTAGATGCGACTCAATGGATGCTAACACATGGTACGAAAAATTCAATAGTTTGATCGTAAAGCTTCAAAAAGCTATAGCTTTTGACTCGGGTGTCCGAATCAAGTAATTTTTTTATTCCACATAACTTTTTGAGATCTACGCAATGACATCTTATTGAAAGAGATTTGGTCAAAAAAATTTCAAAAAATATGAAGAGCTCAAATTTACCATAAAACTTTAGAAGACCATAACTTTTGACTCGAGAGTGCAAATTAGATTTATTTTTATTCCATATAATCTACGCACTAAAAAAATTCACCAAGGATTTTGTTAGTATTGGAAAAGTAAAATTTAAATAACATCATTCACAAAAATAAAATATACTAAACGGGGCACAAAGAAGCACTTTTTGGGAAAAAAATTTAACCAAATCCTCTCCGGCAATTTGCCAACGCGTAGCTCTCAAAAAGTTACATGGATTAAAAAAAAACACCTGATTCAGACTCCCAAGTCAAAAGTTATGGCATTCTGAAGTTTTACGATAAAATATCTCAAATTCGAAAAAAATATTGATTTTTTTTGACCAAATCCCCTCCAATGAGATGTCCTTGCGTAGCTCTCGAAAATCTATGTGAAATAAAGAAAATTACTTGATTCAGACTTCCGAGTCAAAAGTTATGACACTCTAAAATTCTAAGATAAAATATCTCAAATTCGAAAACATATTGGATTGTTTTTTTGACCAAATCCTCTCCAATGAGATGTCATTGCGTAAATCTAGAAAAAAAATCTGAAATAAAAAAAGTTACCTGATTCGGACACCCGAATAAAAAATTATGGCCTTCCAAAATTTTACAGTTAAACTATTGACTTTTTATGTCACATGTCATCACCAAATGTGTTGTGCCTAAATTAGACACGACTGTGTATCATATTGCATCTAATCTGGGCGCTAGCGGTAACTGAATACAATAGATCTATAAATTAGTTACTAATTGTTATCTATTCGTAATTTGTTATTAAAATAATTATTTTAATTTTTTCCCCAAACAATGATGAAACCAAAACTCTTGGGCCTATATGCTTTGCTAAAACTCTCTCCTGAACACTAATGAACCTGTCACTGGTAACGAGCTGAACAAAAAACAGTGAAACTAATAATCATAATCTTATGTATAACCTGTGCTACTTTTTTAGACAATGTACACAAATTAAGAAGTAAAACAATTAAAAGGACAATATGGGCCTGTTTGATAACTGTTTTAGAAAACAGTTTTTAAATTTTAAAAACAAAAGTTTAAAAAACTTGTTTGATAGACGGTGTTTTCTGAAATCTATTCTCAAAACAGTATCTGTTTTTTAATTTTTAGAACTGAAATCTCAAAACACCTATGAGGTGTTTTTGTTGAGTTTCTATTCTTAAAGAATGAGAAGATGGAGAACAAATTGTTCTCATTAATGGCACAATTGTAAATAATAATAAGCCAGCCACTCCCATGTATCAGGTTTCGACACTCATTAATCGGAAACAAGTTTTTTTGTTTTATAATTTTTAAAACTCTTTTCAAAATTAATTTACCAAACAGAATTTTTTCTTTTCTAGGTCTGAAAATCAGCTCTAAAAAACTATTTTATAAAATAATTTTCAAAACAAAAAAACTAAAACATTTTCAAACAGAGTTGATATCATTTCATAAAGTTCCTAGGGAATGGTTTGACCCATTGCGCGAACTGAAACATGACGATTTTGACAAGATTGCTTGTTTTAGGATTTTGACAACACTTAATTTTAATTTTTAATCTACATGCATTTAATGATTGTAATTTATTAAGTTACGATTATTAATTAATTATTAATTTTTAATAAATTACAATCATTATAAATATATATAAATCAATGATTAAAAGTAAAGTGTAAGTTGTGCCTTTATTCTCGATTATTTTGATAATTGACCGAGAATAAATCACAAGTATGATTCATATCTCTTATGTAATAGTCTTTCACTCACTAATAATATACACCTTAATGGTTAAAGTCTACATATTGATGTGACTTCAGACTTTTGAGTCCCCGAATTCACTCTTGAATATATGCTATACACCAGGCACAACTAGAGCTTGGAAGACTCACGGATATTCACTCGGATTACAATCCATCTTCAGAACAATGGATTTTCATATGGGTTGAAATTGGGTCGAGTTGACCCGTATGAAGGTTGGAGAAACCAGTATCGATGAAACATGTTTCAATTTTGTGACTTTGGGTTTCGTGAAATTAATCGATATTCAAATCTTGGTTTCTGTGTCACGATTCACATTTGGTTTAAAGTGACGGATTTTTCTAACGTGCTGCAGGCTCACGGGATTATTTCATGATCTTTTACTAAAAAAGAAAGAAAAAAATCATTTATACTCTATTTTTTTTCAAAATTCCATCTTAATTAATTTTTTTTACTACTTTTGGAATAGAAACTTCTACTCCGGGAGCATATTATAAACGGGCTCTAAAGTGACCTGTGTGACACTGTTTATGATTTGTATTAGAAGGTAAAAAAGAGGAAATGAAAAATATTGATTTCATTGTTTATGGTAATTGATTTGTACAATGATTGAGCTCTTATATAAAAGAGCATGACAGAAAAGAGAAAGATCTAGAATATCACTGAAATACTAAACTACCCTTATACTTAATATCTAATAATTTGAAATTTTCACAAATTGTAATTTTGGTTTCACATTCAGTTTTTCATTGCTTCATATTAACGTGATTGTTACAGTTGCGTGAATTTGGAATTTTGCCTTAGCTTTGCTCCAATATTTTGGTGTCATAGTACTGTTCGTGTGACTTGAAATTTTTCACTGTTTCACGAGTTGGACCCCATCAGTTAGCATTAGTGTTGTTTGTTGGAGTTGGACCATTAATGCATTGTTACCAATTGTTATTGTTCTGATATTCACGTTTTTTAGTTTTGTGGGAATCCATGTTTAATATTCTGTTGCATGTTTAATGGCTATTTTCGAGAAACGTGCAAGATTATTATTTCATTGTTTTAGCTTTTTTTTAGAGTAAATAGTTTTTTTGTTACTAACAAAAAATACGGTCTTCACTTTAATTCCTTACAAAAATAATTAGTCTCGAGTTTCCTAAGAAATTTAAAGTGGACCATTTAGTTGAAATTATGGTCCCTCACAAATTCAAAAAAGACTCACATTAGTCCCTCGAAAGGACTAAAGTAGGTTCACTTTGAATTTCATAGAAACCAATCGACTAATTTTTTTTTATAAGGAACTAAAGTGGAGATCGTGTTTTTTTGTTAAGGATAAAAAAAAATGTATTTATTTTTTTTTACTTCAGCTACTTGTTAGCGTTACTGTTACGTAATATTCAAAAAAGCATGAATTTTAATTTTCGTGAAACGTGCCTGTGACCTTATCATTCATTGTTTGGATATTTAGATTTGGTTTCGCATTTTCCGTTACATGACCTAAATTGAGGTATTGAATTATTGGTTTAATCAGTGGATTATTGATTCGATTTTATGACTCGGTAAATATACATAAATTTATAATTTATATTAAAAAAATTATAAATATACTTAAATATCTATAAAAAATAATATAAATTTCAAATATTTTAATATAAAAAATAATAAATTATGCATCATTGTCCAACAAAAGATCAATCAAATATATAATATTTGTGATATTGCTATTTCATGTTCAGTAAACAACATCTTTAACTATAAATCAAATTCGTGCATATTGCATAACTAAGATAATACTAATGTTGTGTGTATATAATCTATGTAAGTTAATAAGTTATAGATTACTTAAATATTTCAAAAGAAAAGAAATCATTTGTATGTGAGTGTGAAAAAAAAGGAAAGTTTGATAAAAACAAATTAATTTTTTTTTAATGAACCAGGCTGGGTCATCAGTTGAACCGAAAACCGACCAGGTCACATCAATTCTATAACATGACCGGTCCAATATAAAAATCAAACCGATTACATAATCGATTCACCGATTTTCAGATCGACCCGACTGAATCAATCCGATTTTTATAACATTGTCTTTAATTTCGCACCTGCTTGTTACCAATGAATCACTGTTAGGCATTAAGCCAGTCCGATATTTGTTAGTTGCGTAAATTAAATTAGGTGATTTTAGTGATTCACTATTGTTATTAAATTTCGTAATTTAATATTAATATTTAATTATTTGATATTATTGTTTATGGTTAGATGCAGTAATATAATAAATAATATCGTTGAT